TCTTTCATTTTGTAGAGTTTGATTATGATATGTCTTCGTGATTTTCTTCTGGGGAGTCTTGTTTTGGGGGTTTGTTCACTGTTTGAATACGTATCATCTCTCCTTTCATGATATTAGGAAATTTGTCTTCCAGCAGCTCTTCGACTATCTTTTATGTGGTTTTCTTTGTCTCTTCCTGTTCTGGAATTCTCGTTACCTGTAGGTTACTCCTCTTTTTGATGTCTGTCCTATAAGAATCATAGGCTTTCTTCAGACTTTTTAATTCTTTTTTTTGATTGTTCTTCTGTCTTACTAGCGTTAAGACATTTAGCTTCAGGTTCACTAATTCTGGCTTCCATTAATTCAGTTCTACTGCTTTGCCCTTTCAGTGTTCTGTCCATTTCTGATATCTTCATATTGATACTCTGAATTTCTATTTGCAGATTTTTTTTTTTTTTTGTCTCCAATGCTATATCTCTTTTTGTTTGATTGTCCCTATAGCACTTTTCTGTATTCTTATTGGTTTTCCTTAACCTTTATATTAAACATTTGGATATACCTCAATATCATTATTCCTGTATTCTTTTTCAGGTAGTTCCAGTGTCTCTTCTTCCTCAAAAGCATTTTCTAGCTCTTTCTTTCGATCATTTGCTTGAGCTACTCTTGTTTCTTCATGTGAACAGAAATTTTCTGCTTTCTAGGCACTGTGGTATTGATGTATTTGTATTAAATTGATGAATATGTGTTGGTATATTCTTAGGCAATCACCAATTGCCTCCTGGTGGGTGTGATCAGGAGATGAGCTTCTTTGTGCACTGTTAGTTTAGTTCAGTTCAGAATGGATTTACCTAATGTTGTTTGTAGTTGCTGCTCTGTTCTTTAGCAGTGGGTATTGGCTATTGCCCTGTTGGGGATGGGTGCAGTGTAGAGGGTATGGCTGTGTTTGGCTGTATGGCCGCAGTTGCTGGCTTTGTCATGTGATACGAGAAGAAGGAAAACAAACTAACAAACCAGCCTACACAGCAAAAAATTAAAGTCAATGGCTTTCTCTCCTCTAATAAATAAGTGGTGTGCTGTGCTTCATACTTGCCTTTTGCCTTCACAGCAGTCTGAGAAAGTGTAAAATGGCCATGCTGTGACCAGCATGCCCACAGAGATCACCTGTTACCTTTCCTTCCATTTTTTCTCCATCCCATGTGTCTGTTCAACCTCATCTCCTACTGAGAGCCTGTCTGTGGTTGCCCAGGGTTAACTTTGCAGATTTGGATAAGAGCATGCCCTAGTGGGGTTATTGTATTTAGCATTTCCCTGGGGCTCACAATCTTTGAGTAACTCTGACCACCTGAAAAGTGAGAGTTTATCTGGGGTTGTACACTGGTCATAAAATAAAATAAAATTGCACCTTTGTCTCCATGAGCCACAGTTAGGAAAGTTTCTGCATTATGAATATACTTACTTTTCTCTAAAGCCGTTCATAAATTTGTCAACGTGACTGTGGCAGGTTTTGTCAATGCCGCTGCTCGTCAGTCACCTGTTCTTTTGCCATGTCTATTTAACTCTGTCTCCCAGTAAGCCCTTGATCCACTTGTCTATCCCTTCCTTTGGAGCTTAGAGTCCTAGGATTGTCCTCTGTGTCTGCCTGGTTCAGTTTCCCTTACCCTTGCTGCAGAGAGCCCACATACCCTTTTGGTCTAGTCCACCATCTTTCTCCTCCACAGCAGAGTCAGTTTTACATACTGTAGTTACACTTCATAATCAGTAATCAATCTACAGCCATAACTAAATCATTACATTATATCATCAAAAAGAATTGCCTTTTGATGAGCTGGAATGTCCAAAAGTGCCATAATGGGTAATTTTAATGGAAATGATTCAGAATTACTGATTGAAATTTCAGATTACAGTACGACAGGTGAGTTTTGAATGGTGTGGTGTTACTGGGAAACTTTACTGTTACTAGGAGAATAGAACAGGGCTGCCTACCCCCATCCAGCCAGTGGTCTTTTTTTATAATCACCACTTAAGCTGTGAAGAATGAAAATGTTGGCTTCAATCTCAGTGTTCTATATCTGACTTTCAGAGGGTTCAGAGCAAATAACCTTGTAGAACAAATATAGGTAAGTAACAGCGTACTGGATATCCTGCCTGTTTTTTGCAAATAAGGTTTTGTTGGAACACAGCTGTCTGTGGATTGTATAGCTATTGCCTGTAGGATATTTTGTAGGATAAGTACTGGACTGCTAACCAAAAGGTTGGTGGTTCAGACCTACCAGTTGCTTCTCAGAAACCATGTATAGGGCCAGTGTGAATCAGAATCACCTTGATGGCACTTAACAGCAACTTGTGGACTCTGAGGGCCGAGTTGCGTAGTTGTCACAAAGAACATTTGGCTCACACATCCAAAAGGGTGTTATGATCTGGCTCTTTAAGGAAAAGTTTGTTTTTTTGTTCTTTAGGCAGAATTCTTGTCTTTGTCATTGGTGATCATTTAATGCATTTGAGAGTTTGGGTGGTCATTGGTCCTAGCAGAGAATGGGCTTTTGCTTGGTTCTGGATGGCTTTCAGCAGCTGTAGAGTTAACCATGTCCCTACTTGAACACATCATATTCTTGCCTCATTAAACTACCTAATCTCTCTTACTGTGGCTGAGCAATAGCTATACAATCCACAGTTTTTGGTGGGGGAAATTTTTTGTCTATAAAATTAGTCCATGAAAATATGGTCTGATTACTTGGAAAGTTGATTGTGATTTATAACTTTTAAATTTATGAATCTGTGATTTTTTTATGCAGTTGTTCATTTTTGCTTTGTTTTGCCACTGTTTCCTCTTCCTCTGTGTAGATCTAGATTTCTGGTTATTTTTTACTTTTGCCTAGAGGAGTTTCCTTAACATTTTTTACAGTGCAGACTGGCTGGTGAAGCATGCCTTCAGCTTTTGTATCTAAAAAGTCTTTGTTTCACCTTTATTTTAGAAAGATATTTTTGTTGGGTATAGAATTCTGGGTGGACTTTTTTTTTCTTTTCATTTTTAGTTTGAAGATGGTGCTCCATTGTCCATATTCTAGCTTGCTTTTCAGGAGAATTCTACTATAATTCTTATTTTTATTGTTCTTTGTGTAAGTTTGTCTTCTTCTCTGGCTGGTTTTAAGACTTTCTCTTTATCGATAGTTTTAAGCTCTTTGATTGTGATACATTTTGGTGTAATTTCCAACAGAAATCAAGTCATGTCACTCCTCTTCTTAAAAACCTTAGATGGGCTTCCAATTAATTGCATTTTAAATGAAACTCAGATTCTTCCCTAGACCTACAGGATTCTTCCTGGTCTTACCTCTATCATCCTGGGCCACTTTTTCTCTCTTGCTATACTCTAGTAAAATGGATTTCTAGAGATTGTTCAACCACACCCCATGGAGGAATACATTTTACCTTGTAGTCTAATGCAGAGAGCATGTATACTGTATCTCATCAATAGTTTTTGTTGTTGTAAGTGCCGTTAAATCGATTCTGGCTCATAGCAATTCTGGATACGGTTTCCAAGGAGCAGCTAGTAGGTTTGAACCACTAACCCTACAGTTAGCAGTCCTGTGCTTAAGGGTCTGAAATTGGGGTGCATCTTACATTCGGTGGGCAGTACTTTTTCTGTCACAACATTGAGTAAGATGACAGGCTATATAATAGATCGCTACGTACCTTTGATGAATTATGGCATCTGAGACAAATGTTTCCCACATCAGTGCTTACCTTTATTAGCCAAGATACATTTGAGTGCTTACTGTTCTGTACTGTTTATTGGATAACACACACCAAAACTCCCACTCGTCGTAGCTCGCTACTGGGCCACAGCTTGACGTTTAGAACACTCTGCTGCCCCCACACTATTGTTTGTTTGTTCATCAAAAGCACCAAGCACTATCCTGACTCAAGGTTTTGCAAAGGCTGTTCCTTCTGCCCTGACCTGTGTTTGTGTGGCCACTCCTCATCACCCTGCAGGTTCCAGTGAGGCCTTCCCTGACCACAGGTCTCAGTCCGTTCCTCTTTGCCCCCTTACTTTTTTCTTCTGGGCTGTTTCCAACATAGCATTTCTGACTTTGTAGTCATGAACTTGTTTATTTTGTCTTTCCTCATCAGAATGAAGGCGGAGACCATTCTTCCTTTATCCTAGCACAGCACCTGGTATATAGTATGCACTCAAAAAATGCTTGGTGACTAATGAATGCTATTGTTTTTAGGGCAGCTCTGCTTTGCAGAAAGCCTATATATTTTCTTCAAGGTCATTGCTAGGTTTCCTGGACTTCAGCAGCTTTTGGTTTGAAAGAACAGTTCTCACTTGGTCCTTTATGGATATCCATGTGTACCCCCACGTATGTGTGCATTTTTGTTGGCCTGTCTCCCTGTCTTTCTGTCTCAGGGAGTAGGTTGAGGAAGGATGGGCCAGTTAGCAAGAAGAGGGAAGGGTTTTTCCTCTTTTCAGAAAGGGGAAAATAAATGAAGAAGTGTAAACAATTCATCATTTGCTGTTGTGTGTGTGTATGTGTGTGTTTTAATTTTTTTTCTCCTAGTAGTCCCTTGTTGTTGTTGTTAGATGCTATTTAGTCAGTTCTAACTCACCGCGACCCAATGTGGCAGAGTAGAACGGCTGTAATTTTTATGAGAGCAGATCGCCAGGTCTTTTCTCCCATTGAGTCGCTGGGGAGGTTTGAACTGCCAACCTTTTAGTTAGTAGCCAAGCACTTAACCTTTATGCCACCAGCGCTCCTTTAGTTAGTCCCTACGTGTTAGGTAAGTGGTACATAAATTTGTAAGGTTTGTACGTGTCTAAATAGTATCATGTGTTCCTATACCTTTATTTCTCATGTTGGGGGTGACTTGATTAATTTGTTCTTTGACAAACAGGTGCTGAGGTTGCTGCAAAAGCATATTTTGCTTTCTAGGCAAATTGCTGTTCTCTGTATTTTATCCATAGGATGTAGGATTGTTCTTCTACCCTATGAAAAATTTACAATCAACTTCTTACCTTTTAGGCACATAGAGATGAAATCCAGCGCAAATTTGATGCTCTCCGTAACAGCTGTACTGTGAGTATTAACCAAAGGTGGTTGAACTGATGTGAAGCTACAGCCAAGAAGGAGAGGGGGACATCACTGTATAATATAAGCAATAGACTTTTGACACGGATTCTCAGCCTGAAGTGCTTAATGTGGTCAAACTAATTTGGATGTTGTGAGCCCTAGATAACCCGTGTCTCAAGTTTCTGACAATTCTTAAAAATTAAAACCATTCTTCATGTGTGGGGAAGGAGGGCAGTTGGAATGGTCAAAATAATGTGCTCTGCAGAACCACTCATCGGTTTCAGTAGCAACAACAGTCCCAAGACAGCTCCCTGCACCTGCGTCAGTGTACGCGATTCAGAGCCAGCCTGAGCCAGAGACTGTCCAGGTGCCAGAGCACTGACCTCTGTGGGAATCCTTTGTCCCCCATCTCTGCAGGGAGGAAAAACCACCCAGGTCTTCCCCTGCAGACGTAGACATTTTTACTTGCTCATGTGCAAATTCAGCGTCTTGATCTCTTTGGGAGACGTTATTTATACTGATAAAAGTAAATCCTGTGAATGTCATTAGTGGGGTACGTAATAGGGCAGAGTCCTTGGAAATGCCATCTATTTTTGATCTTGCCAGAGAATGAAAAATTGGAATAAGCCCCTAGCTAAGAAGATGAAGATGATGTTGTTTCGTTGTGGTTCCAACTCTTTTTTCTGGTCTTTTTTATCAATGTTACTTACTACCTTCTCAGTTTCTCATGCTCTTGTCCTTGCTTGTGTTATTGGATCTGTGGATTTCCAGACACTTCCCTTCTTCCCTCCTCCATGTATATCTTGTCTTTTCTTGTAATAAACTCTTTATCTCCATTGCAGTTATCATACATGGGAAGTTACATCCTGCCAGCATATGTTTTTATTCCTCCTTCATTTAGATTTAATATTATATGTTAAGTGTTGTCAGGTTGGTTTTAACTCACAGCAACCCAGTAAAAGGTTTCCGAGGAGGGACTGGTGAGTTTGAGCTGCCAACCTTGCAGTTCAAACTGACCTTAAGGTCGAGTGCTTATCCTACAGTGCCACACCAGGACTCCATACAGTATAATATATATACAGCCCTGGTGTGGCACTGTAGGATAAGCACTGGATGGCTAACCACAAGGTCAACAGTTGAAACTGCTGTGTAGGAAGCCCTGTGTAGTGTCACTATGGGTGGGAATTGATTCAATGGCATAGACAGCAGCAAGAAGTATATAAGGTGCCTCAATCTTAAGCACACAGACTGGTGGTATTTTTATGTGGGAACACGACAACCCAGATAATATACAGAATATTTTCCTTCCCCACGAAGTTCTCTCATGTCTGCTTCTCATCAGCACACCTTAAAAGGTAACCACAATTCTGACCTCTGTCATCGTTAGATTAGTTCTGCCTTTTCTTGACCTTCATGAAAATGGAATCGTAGACTCCATACTCTTCTGGGTTTGGTTTCTCTCATATAACATATTGTCTTTGAGATTTATACATACTGTGTCTGGTCAATAATTTGTTCTATTTTGTTACCATGGAATAGTCTACACTTGTTCATCCTTTGTCCTGTTGATGGACCTTTGTCTTGTTTCCCTGTGGGGCTATTGTGGGTAAGGCTGTCAGGAAACATTTGTGTATCTTGTACTGTCCTCTGATGAGTACACACCTCACACTGGAATGAGTTGTGCCCATGTTTGGCTCTCTTTGGCACCTGGCTGACTGAGTTTGGGTCTGCATTTCCTGAAGTCTGTGGCTGAATCAAGGAGCCCTGGTGGCGTGGTGAGTTGGGTGTTGGGCTGCAAGCTGCGATGTCAGCAGTTCCAGCACACCACTTGCTGTGTAGGGGAAAGATGAGGCTGTCTGCTCCTGTACAGATTGGTACCTTGGAAACCCTGAGAAGCATTTCTCCTGTGTCCTGAAGGGTGATTCTGAGTTGGAATTGATGGCGCTGGCAGTGGCTCTGGTTTGGTTTTATGGCTGAGTTGAGGAGGGCAGATCCACTTAAGAAATGGCTGCTGGCTTTCTCTGTTCTTTCCTGTTTTCCTTGAGGAGCTGGTGGGTTCTGTTCCCGTTTTCTTCTGACCTAGTTTTTAAAAATATTATGTCTATTGTCTTGGTTTCTAATTTTAAACATGAATTATGCCTGTATTAATACATGCTCAGAAATGATGACTGAATCAAATATAGATGACTGTTTCTGATTTTTTTATTACTCTTTTTTTCTAAAATAAACCCGGGTGCATTTGTATGTGTGCATTAGTAATCCCGTTCTATTTACCTGGAGTTCTCTTTTCTCCTTTTTAGCCCTTCAACATAAAAATTGTAAAAAAAAGTTTTGAATATGGCCCTCTTGGGGTATAATTGATGTATGAAAAGCTGATAAAATTTGACATGTGTACATACCTGTGATACCATCAGAACAATCAAAATTATGTATATACATCATCCCCAAAGTTTCCTTATAACCCTTTGTAATCTACCCCCATCTCCAGTTTTTCAATTGGAAGTTGACTTTAATAGACGGGCGTGGTGCTACAGGATATGCACTGGACTTCTAACCATAGGGTTGGCGGTTGAGACCCATCAGCCACTCATTGGAAACCCTATACAGTGTCAATACAAATCAGAACCAACTTGGCATGTGCTGACACCACCACTAATGCAAGTGTAATCCTTAGGTGGGGCAAATGATCACGTGCTTTCCTGCTTACACGTGCTTCAAACCCACCTAGAGGTGCCTCAGAAGACAGACCTGATGATCTGCTTCCAAAAAGGTCACAGCCTGGCAGGCTTAGGGATGGAGCAGAGTTCTCCCCTACACACATGGGGTCACCACAAATTGAAATCAACTGAATGGCATCTACCACCACCACTGTGGTGCTAAAGTAATTTGGTTTAGTTTCTTAACACGTATAACTTTCATACTCTCCTTAGCCCTCATATTTACTTTTTCTGGGACTAGTGGCTTTTAATCCTTGTAGTGTTTAGTTCTGCTGTTCTATGGAGACACTATGTGACTTAGCGATCCCAGTCATGGAGGGTCTGGCAGACTGGGGTTCGATTACTAATTGCCCTCATACTTATCTTCCTGACCATTTGTTTCTGTACCTGTAACATGGGTGGTGATGTTGTAGGTGCTCACTTTTAATACACCATTGAAAACACAGTGCATCATTAATTTTGTTACTACTCTTTGGGATCTGGGTAAGTGGAGAAAGACACTTTCTTAGTTCTAAGATACCTTTGTATTTGAGAAACATTGTAAAACATGCTTTGGTAATCATTAATCCCTGCCTCATGTGGTTGATGGGAGAGTTAAACACCAATGCCAGCAGAATGCCGACCCCAGGGCCCGACACAGAGAGGGCTAAGCAGTGTTGGTGACTGTGGTTTGGATTAAGCCTGTGAGAGGCAGAACTTAACAGGACTGCCTAGTCTTTCTGGGTCTTGTAAATATCCCGCCTTTGACAGAGTGCACTCTAGCCACTTTCAGCCCCTTTCTATTTAGTAAGAAATATTTGAGTTTTCCTTCTGGCAGGTTTCCACCTTACATTGGGTTGCAGTGTTCGTGGGTTGTTGGTGGTGGTAGTTCCAACTCATGGCAAACCTGGATAGGATTTCCGAGGCTGTAAATCTATACAGGAGCAGAAAGCCTCATCTTTCTCCCGCGGAATGGCTGGTAGTTTTGAACTGCTGATCATGAGGTTAGCAGCCTGACTCTTAACCACGGTGCTCCCAGAGCTTCTTCGTGGGTTACCTGTACAATATTATTTTATCATTTGAGACTTATGGCATGTTTCTTGGTCTGGAAAGCTGTTCTGTTACTTTTAGAAGTTTGGGGGAAAAAAAGCAGAAATAGTTGGTCCCAATTATACTCATGCAAACTTAAAGGCTACATTTAAGCTGCTTTGGGAGAGAGAGTGCTAGATACACCTTTCTTTCCCCATCTGCTCCAGATTACCCCTTCATTCCTGGTGAGCACTCCCTTAGTAACCCAGTTGATGGGAGCTCCCAATTAGCAGCTTGGAGAAATCTCATGAACAATTAGATCTCCCAGCTCAAACCATTTCTATATTTTGAAGAGATTTTTTTTTTTCTTCAAAGAATTGCATTCAATCTGGCACCTAAAACCCTACCTAAAAGTCTGTTTTGGAGGAGAGTTGGTGGGCAAACATATGACACAGTTTTAATTATGAATCAATCTGTCAGCTATAAGATTAAAAATAAATAATATGCAAATAGCCGCCTTCAAGAAGGAGTGAAGCATTAAAATAGGCCTTCAATCGTGTATCCCTCCAGCCTGGTAGTCATTATTTCGCTGGTCTCTTTACCTACGACATGCCTGGACATGCCTTGGGAGCGTCTCTGAACCAATCCCCGTTAACATGAGAAGTTAGTAACATCTGCTTCTCAGAACCATCAGGACTACACCCCAGCCTTGAGAAGGCAACAGATAACCCCGAAAGAGTTGTGGTGTTGCTGTTGACATTAGAATGGATTGGCTTTTAGATCCCTGTTCTTTCTGAGAATCTCTTACTCACATCAAGATTTCTTATCTCTAAAAAAGACTGGCAACCTGAATTATGAAGCTATCGCCCTCATCCTTTTACTGCTAAGATGGAATCAGTCTTTCCAGTTTATCTTTCTTACCCTCTCTCTGTGGGACTGGAATATTAGCAGACACATACGTAACTAACGAATCCATTGCCCATGGTGTGGAGAGAATAGAATTGTGACCACAAAGTAGATCCAAGAATTCTCCTGACACATTGTGCTGGTGTTGTTACATGCCATTGAGTCAGTTCATAATGATCTTGTATAGGGTTTCCAAGGAGCAGGCTAGTGGGTTTGAACCATCCACTTTGTAGTTAATAGTCCAGTGCTTATCCTACAGCGCCACACCAGAACTCCCCTCAAACACTGTTGTTGTTAAGTGCCGTGAAGTTGGTTCCAACCCATAGCAACCCTGATAGGGCTTCCGAGAAGCAGATAGTGAGCTTGAACCACCGA